TGATTGCATACATTATTGTTAAAATGCATTTTAATGGATTGAGAACGCCATAATTTATACTCTTATCTCTTTACGCTCACCTTCGCACCCTTAACTCTATTTCCTTAACCATAAACCTTTATACCTATATTCTTATTTCTATACCCTGAATATTATATCCTTAACCCTATACCCTTATGCCTATATCCTTACTCATATACCCTTAATACTATATCCTGAACCTTATACCCTTATGCCTATATCCTTAATACTATATCCTTAATACTATACCGTTACCCCTATATTCTTAACCCTATACCCTTATACCTATACCCTTATGCCTATATCCTTAATGCTATATCCTTATTCTTATACCCTTAACCCTATACCATTATTCGTAGATCCTTAACCTTATACCGTTATGCCCATATCCCATTAACTCCTCCTTCATAGTTAGGTTACACATTGCATACTTTTCTTCTTTTCTTTCAAGATTAAAATAGAATGTTAATTGTCAAAATATTTTCTCGATTGCATCAGCGTTTGTATTTTGATACAAGTGATAATAAATCAATAATTTTCACAATTTTATTATTCTTCAAGAGAAAAGACAAAATGAATAATGTTATTTTTACATTGATGTCTAACAATATTTTTGCAAACAATAACTTTCAGTGATCGATTATTTACAAGTTGTCATTGACAGTATTGCATCCAAGCCATTTTTTATGTTCATTTCATTATGAAGAGTAACAGAAACATAAATAGATGTAAAACAAAAAAGGTCTGCCCTGAATAAAAATCATCATTTCAATACGAAATAACCATCAGCCTAGGAAATCAAGGAGTCATTTGATAAATGTTTGAGTCTTCCATAATAACACTTAATGATCCGAGTGTGAAATAAAGCGAATTTTACGTGCTAGCTGGACGTATGAAGAATCACCGTCGTTGAAAATAGGCATTCGTCATGCTACTCTTCACGAGAGCTGAATTAACTATGATAACAACATGAAATCTAACCGTATCTTTCTGAGTCCAAAATACTAAAAATAAAAGTGTTATGATACAATTTGAATGCTTACTCTACGAGCATAGGAGAGAGATAAGCTTAGACATAAAGTATTCTTGACCGAATCTTCAACGAAAGCGAACACACAATATAATGCAATAAGTTCACTAAGTCCTATGACATTTAATACAATATCAATACACTAATTTTTTTCATTATTTGAATTTGTTTGTACAGATGATTTCATTTAAAAAATTGGATCTAATTGTAAGCCGCCAGCTGCGGTATTGGGATAATACTTTAAAAGAACACAAACAAGTAATTCTAATAAAGCAAATAAAGTCGATATGCCTGGCACAAGATAATCTTTATTAACAGTTGTTGTTATCTGTAAATATGATAGAACAATATGAAAGATTTTATCAACAGTATTTCATATCTGTAAATGAATTTTTAAGTCAATATGAAGGAAATAAAGACTTAAAAGGGAAAAAAATATTGCATTATATAAGAAGTATTCTATAATATCTGCTTGTGATGTATGAAGATTTTTTTTTAATTCATTGAAATATTTTGTTTTTGTGAATTGGAACATTACTTAAGATAGTCGTTTGAATTTTTTCCTTAAAATAAAATCTACGAAATCAGACCAATTGACAAGGAGTGCGCGTCAAAGCAGAGCTAATCGAGTTGGTTCTTCGAACCCGACCGGGTCTAATCGTCTGAGATGTGCATTTTGCGCTAGTCACCGTACATAAAAATTCGAAAAAAAAAATATCTCGTATCTTCTAAACAACTACTCAATTCTAATTAGAAAATTTCATTGAGATTCTCAAAGTACAGATCAACTTGGTTCGAGCCCGGATCGAAATTCGAATATTTTGAATCCGACGCGCTCTAGTGTCAACACTTTGCTTTAAGACAATGCGCTTTTGGCTTACAGATAAGTTTCGTGATTAGTTGTTTAGTAGAGCGCGGGTCTGACCTCATAAAATTTACGGTGACTAGACCTAATACCATTGAATCTCTTTTTATGAGAATATATCAACACAAATGCCCATAAAACGACCATTAAAGATCTAAATAATTCAAGAACCAGAATAAGCCAAGAAGTTGTAGTAATGGAAAAATCAATTGTTGTATAATGTTTTTCTAAATAGTGAGAAAAGATGAAATTTATGTGTGTCAATTAGAGGTGATAGCTTCGAAGAAAATGTTTGAAGTTTACTCGTATAAGTAAAAATTCGGTGTATGAACCCTGTTATTCAAAAAAATTAGTCGATGGAGTTCAATCGAACAGTAAATATACACAAAAAAACACTTTTAGGAAGGGCCTATTGAAACACCCTTTATCTTTATACTAATATACCAATTATTCGAACACCTAAATGATCATATTTTATTTGTCCAACAGTCATTAATGTAATCTTTTCTTTTGTTTTTGATTTTAAATACTAAAACCTACAGAGTATCTCAAAAGTTTGGGTATTACTAATTTATGCTAACACCACAAACACCCAACTTTGTAAAAACGCATATGGGTCATCTTCACTAACACCCACAACTTGGAGAGTTATGTGCACAAACACTCACTAACACCCACTTTATCCGACTCCTAGAAAAAATAAACCGCCAACAAAGACCAAAAAATGACCCCCTTCAACACTAACACCCAAAATCTCACTTATAGTCCACACAAGCACCCCAAGTTGTATTCACTAACACCCACAGAACTCAATAATCTACATTCTGACTCGAATAAGTACTATCCCTGAATAACTTTTTCTGATAAACTTTTCGCTGGAAACATCTCTTCAACCTTTGCCGTATCGACAAAAGTCGGTTTTCGTTCGAAAAATACAAATTGGGATAAATGCATAGGAAGATAGCCCGTGTTCTGTTCTTCCAGAAACAGTATGATTTTTAAATCGATACCCCTTTTTTGGTCAAATTTTTTATGATTTCTGTTACTTACTTCTTGAAAAACAGCATTTTTTTCTAGAGGGAAGGGGGTTTAAAGGATGTTTCCAGAGAAAAGTTTATCAGAAAAAGTTATTCAGGGATAGCACTTATTCGGGTCAGAATGTAGATTATTGAGTTCTGTGGGTGTTAGTGAATACAACTTGGGGTGCTTGTGTGGACTATAAGTGAGATTTTGGGTGTTAGTGTTGAAGGGGGTCATTTTTTGATCTTTGTTCGCGGTTTATTTTTTCTAGGAGTCGGACAAAGTGGGTGTTAGTAGGTGTTTGTGCACATAACTCTCCAGGTTGTGGGTGTTAGTGAAGATGATCCATATGCGTTTTTACAAAGTTGGGTGTTTGTGGTGTTAGCATAAATTAGTAATACCCTAGGCAGTGTCTGTGCATCATTTGAACTCAACAAGATAAAATGTTGAAGTTGCCCTTTTTGAAAGAGAAGGATTTCCTGTGAGAAAAAGGAAATTTTAGATTTCTAAATTTGACGCTTATTTTAGCGGTTTTCGACAAATTTATTAAAAAGTTATAAACACGTACCTTGTATAACAGATCTTTTTTTACATAGCCTTACGTGCCCTGATGTCCTTTATCCAACGGTGAAAATCCCGGGTCTCTATCATTTTTCTTTCAAAAGTTATAAGAATTCTGCCCAAGCGACTTATTTTCAGAAATGGATAATAGAAAAATGTACTTGATATCTCATTGACACTACTTAGCTTTTGCACTTACCATTTATCCGCATTTTCACTACCTTTCGAATCTAACCATGCATCTAACAATGGATCGGACATTGCTTCTACTATTTCATGTGCCATGGGACTCAACATGGCGTCGACACCGACATCACCATTAGGTGAAACAAGATGGTTGTACACACTACAACTACCAATGGACTCTTGCGGATTTCCTATAAATCCATAGATATATGTTGAACTTTCAACAGAGAATGCCGAATGATATCCACAATAGTTGGTACAGAAAGATGCATTGCTTGAATAGTTTTCTTTCACATCTGAAGAACTAAGCAACAAGTAAATACCCTGTAGATCATTTTCCAGTTCCCCACTCTTAATACGATTGTGAATTATACGTGGTATATTTGAACCAGTAAGTTGAGATCCATAACTGTAGTTATCTGTCGTTGTACTTCCGAGAGTAAGTGGACCTGTTGTGTTTACCTTGGAACTTGTGGGTGTATCTTGATAGTAGTAGCTCTTTTGGATGTTGAACCATGATGTACTTCCAATTGTCGAAATGAATGTATTGACAATATCTGTTTGCGTCGTAGTCCAACTACCATAATACTGTACATAAAATAGTGTCACTAAAAAGGTCATAAATAAATCACTTGATGATACTCACCACAATATGGACTTTGGTAAGTCCAGTTAATACACGAGCACCGATCCGATACAGTATAGGATAGGTCGCCGTTGTATTTACTACGTCGTCTGAGCTTGCGTTGTAGATTTCATCTACAGATATCTTTCCAAGTCGAATGGCACGATTATTGTGCGACTCTAAAACAATATGAATTATATCAGTTTTCATAAATACCTTAGCATTAAAAAGTTGATGGTCTAAAGGGAAATTACTTGAAGATTGCCTGGGCTAGACTTTGAATGGTGATGAAATTCAATTAATAACAAGAAATCACAAAAATGACCAATCAGTGATCGTGCTGTCTATTCGATTGTGATAATAGAACTAAATGTCAATCAGAAAAAAATAGTCGACTAATTTTTTAAAGTGTATGCATGTCAGACACTTGACTAATAAAAATTCCACTTTACAAGTGAAATTTCTATATCGCTAGTCAGTTAAATAAACATATGAGTTGGTCAAATAACTTTGTTTTGTAAGTGAGGATGGAAATTTTCTAAATGAGTTTATTTACAAGGATGCTTCTAAAAAATCTTCCTTACTCATTGCACTATCGCACTAAGAATGCGCATTTCTAAAGAGAAATATTGTGCTCGCTGAGAATCTATAAATTTTTTGGTTTAAATCAAAATAAGCCTCATTATTTTAAGTGAACTAAAGAAGACATCACAATGAGCATTTCGTTATTATCTAATTTGAATTGACATAAATTTTCTTACCTTGCTCCGTATGCATGAAATGCTTCCAATATCTATGCCTGCGACAATCTGATGGTGTAATGATACTTGCAATGAGAATAATCGCTAAGAAACAAGAAGCCAAAGTCACCTTCATATGCACGATGTCGTCTATGATTATTGCATTAAATGTGAAGACAAAAGGAATTGAATATGTATGTTTTTCTTTGCAACTTACTTGTAATATTGCTTTGTGTTCAGAAGACTAAGGAAGAAAGAATGAATAGATTACGTAAAAAACACTAACCTATATATGACACGTCTGCTGCTGTTATCGTTATATTCAGTGAACCTAAGCCTAACATTTAGAAAACTACAACAGTCATTCTTTAGCCATCTTCTGGGATAATCCTTAGACAGATTCATCATAAGTCCAAACGGAGAGATTAAAATTAACAACATGCAAAACACGGAATAACAAGCGAATGCACTTTTATTTTTGATACATGACAAACAGCTATTCATGTATGAAACACGCAATATCCAATTAGTCATAGGTTTAGTCATCATGTATTGCTGTTTAGACTTTTAGAAATGCAATATCTGCGGAGAATAAAGAGTTCACTAATACATACTCTACATAAATGGGCCAATTAAATAAAGAAAATTAATCATAAATCCAAACAGTATGATTTAAATAAAACTTCATTCATTTTACGATGTTTCGCTCAATGAAAGCATCATGTTCAAATGATAACAATAACAAAGTATAATCAAAACAATATATTGATTGCTCCATCACTACATAAAATTTTAAAATAACATAATTCATATAAGTAGACACGTGTATGTATACTTGAAAATGGTTTTGAACTCATCGAAGCATAATAAAAATCAAACGAAATTTGCTTTAAAACGAAACAATACGAGTTTTACTAAACGTCATTATTTCTTTTCTCGATTTATATAAATTATATTATTTACGAAATATACATATTGACCTGACAACCTACATAAGATTTCGATTAGCTCTTGTCATTGTCATTACTTGAAAATGACCCTTCAAGCGGTCGAAACGGTGTGAGATGAGGAAAGCTCTATTTCAAAAAAAATGTTATCTAGAATTTCACTAGATTCTAATTACTAAATTAATTTGTCAATTTTTATGGATTGTATTATTTTATAATTGTACATAGTTGTGGTGCAAACTATATACAATATGAGTTAGCTCTTCACATTACTACTACTTGGAATGGATAGTTTTTACTAATAGAAATTTCGAGAAATGAATAAAATTTGATTTAAAATACACTCCTTTTATTTTTTCTGATTATCTGTTTCCACGTGTTCGTTTATATAATTAATCTTGTAGATAATTGTACATAGTTGTCAAACAGCCTGTATCTCATTGAGACTAGCTCTTGCTTTTGTTATTCCTTGAAAATGATCTTTCAAAACATTAAAACGTCGTAAAATTACTAGTTTCATTTAAAATACACTACTTTCATTTTAATTAAATTTGCTTACCTAATTGGTTCATTCTTGTAAAATATTCTATAAAACGTTCTGTAGTCTTCATATTTTATCAGTTTTAAAACTTTTAAAGAGCATTTTACGATGAATTTGCCTACCACTTATAGGATATTGCGCTTTGTAAATATGATTAAGTGTTGACCTTCAAAGAAAAGTAATTGGATTTATTTGTATTTGTACATTTTACGTCGATAACATTTATCTATCTGTTTACATTTATTATTAATTTATATCACGACTACATTGTAAGATGAATTATCGATAAATTGTTTTGTTTTTGACTACTACATTACTGTTCAGGACACACAACCACTCTCACAACAGCTGTGAAATATACAAGTACCTCCCATTATTATTTCATGTAACCTTCTTTCTCTGTTTCTACTTCATCTTAGGGTGAAATACCAATATTATAACTTATTCTTTACATGTTTTTCGTTCCCAAGATTAAATGAAAAGAAAAAAGATGGCTATGTGAGGAAACAGTTCAAAATATTCATATAGTTAAGTTTTGTTATTGTAATTGCTGTGTTCCTTGAACGGTAACTTAATATGTAACAATAAAAGCATTGATCATGACTCATCTCACAGTGTGCGCGTACGATAAGCTCAGGACATGTGAATAAAAGGATCGATTAATGTTGTCGATATAATATGCACAGAAACAAAAAAAATATGCATGCTTTTCATCTTAACTATACACTCATACATACTTGCTCGATGCAACATCGAATGACTCATATATAGAATCATCGTGTGTTGTCCTTGAGCTTTTTACAAATTAATAAAATACAAAGATAATAGAATATTCGTTAACATTATTTATATAAATGGACGAATTACATGAAGAAAATAGATCAAAAATGAAATATTGTGTGTTATACACCATATTTACTCGTTTTATGACATTTGATTCACTCCAAAGATCAGTTTGAAATAATAACAATAACAAGAGTTAATCATATATATATATAGATTTTTCGATCACTTTGTACAATTGAAAGCAACATAATTTTCTTAAATGCAAAAATGAAATAAATAAAATTAGTAATTATCGAAAAAATATATTACAAGTCAAAGTTTTTTCATTTTACAGCATTCAATCAATTAAAGCAATATTTTATATTGATACTAATAACGAGATTCGATGAAAGTAATATATTGATGGTCCGACGTCTCTGTACAATTTACACTAGCATAACTAATATACGTAGACACACACAGGCACACGTAGACACACACAGGCACACGTAGACACACACAGGCACACGTAGACACACACAGGCACACGTATACTCTCAAATGATTCTCGAACTAATCGAAACGGTGTAAAAAGGAATAAAACTTGATTTTAAATACACTTTTTTCGATTTTTATGAAATTTCTTGATTAAATTTATCCATTTATTTAAACTAGAATCGATATGGATACGTGTCACACACTAAGTTAAAATGTGTCGCATGTGTCGTGATTTGCGACACATTATACGACACATTAAAGTGCGACACGAGGAGCTCACTGCGACACATTTTCTCCAGCAAGACCACGACACATTTTGTGCGACACATTTTCTATTGGTTCTTTTGGAAAAGCATATATCGATTTTTTTTCAATTTAATTCTATTCAATTATTTCTATTCTGAAAACTCAAGCAAGTCAGATCCTGAGATCCGTCCGATCTCGAGTTGGTCCGATTTGCAGCAGACTGCCTCAGGGTAGTCCTCTCTCGATCATGGATCGAGATTAGCATTTTCTCGATAAAAAAAATGATCGAGAAATAATTTAGACAAAAAGAATATTTTGAAAATTTATCTTTCATATATTCAACTACGTTGTTTATATATCGCTATGTATACATAATAAAATGGTGTGGGTGTGGGTATCAGACTGTCTTCGAAAACACACCCACACCGACATCCACCCCCACACCCACATCCACACCCACACCCACACCCA